CATTGGAAATCAGACAAGAAAATTCTGCTCTTAGAATTATCTGTCACCTTGTTGCTGTATATCAAAGAGTACTTAAATACATGTAAATTATTTATGCAGTAACCTACACCAGTTATTTCAACATATTATAACTGCCTCAAAAGTGAAGCAAAGAGCATCATACTACTTTAGACATAAAAATGTCATCAGCGTGTTGGTGTTATCCATGTATGTGGTAGGGACAAGAGGCTCATTTTGAAACTTTTCTAAATGAAAAACTCAGTCATTTTTTTCCCTCCAAAACATCCAGACACACAATTGTAACATCTTTAAGTATACACTGGTTATGTCTACACATGCATTTAACTGCACAGTTAGTTACTGCGCAGTAAGTGGTTTTTAGGCCAGCATCTACATGTGCAGTCATTAAAGTATAGTAATTCTGTGCATAGACTGACTTGGGTCCCAGGTCTAACTATGGTCCCAAGTCAGTCCACAAACACACTATTACTGAGGTCTACATGTGCATTACTGCACAGTAATTAATCAGGCATAAATCTGATACCTGGATGATGCAGGTATCAAATTTATGCCCAAGTCAGTGTAAGTCACCATAGTTAATGAGCCGTATGCACATGTACACGCATGCCCATACTGTGCAGTAATTTTTTGTTACTGTGCAGTACCCTAAATTATTGCACAGTAAATGTGCATGTGTAGATGCGCCCACTGTGGAATTAATAGTGATACTACTGCCAGTCTAATAGTGATAGTGTCAGCTGCTGCTGTAATAAAAGTGTAATTTGGATTCTAACTATGAACAATAAGTTTACAAGCCAAAAAAGAGCACGTTCCTGTTTTAATATCTGGTTCCTGCATACTACAATGTGTTTACTGAAACTACCCATGTAGGGTAGTTGTTTACATAAAGCTTCTGAGTTTTTTCATTGTTGTAAATTTTTCAACCAAATTATATATCCTGAACACAAGCAAAAGGCTTTCGTACACTTGTTGCCTTTGTAAGCTTTTTGAATTAAACATCTGTTAGTGGAGTTATAACCATGAAAACAGACACACATAGCGTCATAGCTATACCTCATAGCTGTGGCTGGATCATTATAATAAACCTAATACTATTTATATAAATGGTAATAGTCTTCTGTGTCTTGTGTACGAGTTTGCAACTATAAACCTAAAATCTTGCTCGGGTAGACTGTACTATTATCTTCCAGAAGTGTAATCATGGGACCTACTTCTGAGTAACATATACCTCATATAAAAATCAACTATTTTATTGTGAGAGTTAAATACTGGATTGTTTTGGAGTGGTGCCCCAATGTTATACTCGCATGTTTTTTTCTTATAGTTTATGCCCTGGAAAATAAAGCATTATTTTTACAAAAGTTACCTGAGAATGTTTTATTAAATGTTGGTATCATTTAAACTTTGGAATCATTGCCAGTATGCACAAAATACTCATTTGTATATGTATTCAAATACAGCTAGCCATTGTATATACCTTTCTCATTCATATAATGTGCACAGATGGACAGCTATATTGTTTTTCCATTATTGATTTGGATTTCAATAATGTTTAATTAATTAATTAATGGTGTAAGTGTGATTTAAATACAATTTCTTTCTATGCCTCGTGATTGCAGAAATTCAATACAGAAATGATTAGCGGTAGTACTGTTTTATTCAAGTATAATTAACTTGGTTTTTAATAAATTGTATTCTAACCACTTATTGTAAGATAAAGAATCATAAGAGATATAATAAATAGGAAATGTAATAGGTTTCCAGATTATGTGATTGACCTTCATAAACTGTAATAACTACATGAATTGCACAAAATTTCCACAGCCAACCACCAGCTGACATAACTATAAATATTATTAATCATGGTAATTAAAGAGCAACCTTAAGATCCACTGTTCAATATGAACTTCTTCACCTTTCCTTTTGCAGGTTTTTATGGGTTATGTATGGACTCTTATGCAGTTCTTTCATAGGCCCAGTTACTAAAATGCATGACTAATGTAAAGTTTGGGTTTTTCTGTGCATTTTCAAATGGCTCGCTTCCTTTTTTATATATCTGCCTGTTTCTATATCACTATGATGTGGTGTCTGCATGTCACTCTGTATGCATGTTTTACTTTTTCTTGGACTCCACTATGATTTTATTGTTATTTGAGAGGGAATTTTGAGATGTTGAGGATAATAAGATACAATCTGCAACTCTTTTCTGAAACCCAATATGATTGCAAATAGATAATAGGTTTTCTGCTGAAATGTATGAGCTTGTGCTTAATAGGAAGTTTGTATGTATTTGTGTTCCCTTCCTTTGGTATAGTTTCAGCTGTATTTCTCAGCTGGAACCCACAGTCGTTATACCTCATCCCATTTTCTTCTTCAGTTGTCACATGAAGTTATGTTACCACATAGTACTGCTGCAAGATTATACTAGACAAGACTACTTTAGCCACATAATTTAAAGTGTCCCTTATTGCTCAGGTGATATCAGCTGACTCCATGCTGATCAGTCACCCACAACCCTTATATTTTAATTTTCCTCTCTTCAGTGGACAGCTATTCCAAAGAGAAAATTTCTTACCTAGCACACTGACATGCCTGATTATGTGGTTGATCTTCATAAAGTGTAGCAACTACAGGGAATTGCACAAATTAATGAAAATATATTGGCACCTTAAACACAGCAAAATTAAACTTATCTGTTACAATTCTAAATTGAGCCTGCAGTTGGCAAACGATCCTCAATATGTATCACTCCCATAAACAGACAGATAAACAGTTTTATTCTTGTATTGATGAATGGATGAAGGACTTCTCAATAAGCCCTCTGAAAGGCAAGTGTTATGGTAGGTGTCGGATTTTTGTTCTTTATAAAAGTGTAGTCATCTCCCATATAGCTATCACCCATTCTACTCTAAAAGTTGAAGGATACTTACTTAACTATAAGGGAAATTGTAAGCAAGAATTTTTATTGTTGCCCTGCACCCTCTGTTTTAAGGTCTAGCAGATGCGAACAAATTGATAATTTACAAAGAAACATGAGGGTACAATCTAATTTTCATACAGTTCAGCTAATGACAGCCACTCATCCTCAGTGGGTGCCCTGCTGCACAGTTGGTACTAAATAACTGCACAGTACCTGCTGGTGCTGCGCAGTAGCTCGTTGCTACTGTGCAGTGGCGGTGGCATCACAGATAGTGCCCACTTATGCTACATCACCATAGCAACAAGCCACGTCTCTGTAGCTTGTCACCACAGCAATATAGGGTCTCATGTAGATGTGTCCAGTATACATTAATGTTACATAATTAGTAATAATATGCTCAGTAACTATGCTTTGCAAACACATGAACATGCAAAGCACAGCTACTGGGCCTGCTTGGTAGACAAAGTGCAGTCACGTAAGTCACAATAATACACTGTGTGCTGGAGCCTATAACATGCACAAGTTCCAACAACACCATGCTGAATGTTGGGAAAAACTGTGCGACCAGTGAGTAACTATAGGGTTTTCTATATCTAGAGATCTGCATGCAACTTTAAAATTACACAAGATGATGAAATTCCTGCTGGGAAGCTTCCAATCTCAAATATATAATACAAGTGACAAGTTTGGGTACAGACCAGAATGCATGAGAGAGATGATGAGCTAGTAGTCCGGCAGTCTGGTTTGTAGGCTATATTTTGATACTCTTTTCTGTTCAAAAGCAAGGAGCTCACTGTAGTGAATGAGGTCAGTTAAATAGACTACTGTACCTCACATTTCTTTCTTTAGCTATATTGTAGGAAGGGGTTTTTTGTTTTTTCTGTCAAATCTAACTTATTGGTTGGTGCCGTATAACACTACCCTAGGACCAGTCCTGCAGTAGGACACAAAAGTCATTTTTTTTGTTTTAGAGCATTTACAAAAGTAACAGAAAATTCTGGAGAAGGTGATGCCAATTTATACAATAACAGTCCCTCTGTCCAAGGATCTATAAGTTATAAGTATCAATCTTCCCACATTCTAAAAGAAGGAAGGTAAATAACAGTGGCTGTATTACTAGCCTCAGAAAAAAAGATGGACATCTCTTCAGGTGGCTTGATTCAGTAATTTCACATCAATAAGATGGACGGACAATCAGTGTTTGTAATAACAGGATGCTCTTATTCTTTATCCTGTCTAGGCTACCGAGGACAAAAGGGAGAAAGAGGTGAGCCTGGAATTGGACTCCCGGGTAATCCTGGTCCCCCCGGCCCTTCAGGTAAACATCTCCAGCTTTACTGTGGCTATTGTTACTAATTAACAAATGAACGCTGTGCACCTGATTCTCTCTCTCCGTTTTTCCACCGGGGTGACTCTGTGGTCTTCCACTGAGTAATTCCCAGTTTGCAGAGGTTAGAGGTCAGCCCTCAATCTGAGGTCAGACCAAGCACTCCTGCCTCTTGCTGTTTAGTTGGTGTGAAGGAGCAGGCTTTCGGTGACGTGTTGCTGTTCACCATCTGCACAGGCATATTACCAGTGCTAATTACTATCTTTATTTTATCAGCCATCAGTCTGCCAGGCCCACCAGGACTTCCTGGAGTTCCAGGTCCACAGGGGCCTCCAGGGCCTGTCGGAAGGTGCAACCCAGCAGATTGTTTCTACCACGTATCTCAGGCTCGACCACGTGCCAGTAGGAAATAAACACCTCATTCAGAGACGTTTAGGTTCATGTTTCTACCTTATTTCTCTTTATGAGTCAATTTAACCTTCATGATACTTGTTGTATTTCTGTCAATTTATTCTGTGTAGTTCATAGACATTTTATAGAGCACTTACATCAAGCCTTTTACTACATTAATTTCAATATCAGAGTTATGATGAGAAATGATGAGATTTATTTTCCTGAGTTCATTCCATGTGTTTGGTTTTTAATTTTTTTTTGGCTTAGGGAAGACAGTAGGCCTACATAGTTCTCTTGAGCTTTTCTCTTCCACAGAAAGTTATTTTCTTAGATCTTCCTGATCTTAAAACAGCAGGAATTTTACAATCTTGTTAAGTGGTTTTATTCACCTTGTTATTTCTGATGATGAAGTAGAGTAAAACTACAGTTTTCCTAAAGTTTTTTAATTCACATTAATCCTGAAGTTTAGGCTCTTAGATGGACTTCTGGAGAACTCTGTTCATATGAAATGTTACCCATTCTTTTGGAAAGTAACAGTGCAGGTTTCCATACCCTGCTGAACTATGCTTATACTTAAACAAGGATGCTCAAGGTCACTTGAAGCACTTCCTTGACAGCAAAGTGTGGAGATAATAGTCTTCTTATGATCTCCTCTCTGTCATGCAGTATTTTGCTGGTTTTAGACTGTCTGGATATTCACTATGTGTGGCTACTAAAAGTCTTTTGTATGATTAAATGAATGTTAATCCAGCTCAGACTGGCACATTCAGTTACCCCTAAGACCGGATCCAGACACGCAGGCATGTGAGGTTTGTGGCACTGCAAACCTCTTTGTGGCACCACAAACCACACACTGGGCATGTTAAAATGTGCCCATGCTGCAGATTTGCAGTACAGGGGCAGAATTTGCTACTGGGAAATCCCAGTAGGAAAAAAAATGCCACGAAGAAAAGCAGCACAGCACCACACCACAGGAGCATGCACCAGCTGACACAAAGGTTTGGTCCTCCAGGAAGATGCTGTGGCTGCTGGCCAGAGCATCTCCCCTCCTTTAGTTCTGCCTCAACTTCTCCAGCATGCTGGGAGCCAGGAGAGCTGGGGAAAAGGCAGTTTGCCTGAAGTGGGGCATTTTGCTCCACACCAAAGCACACATGCGGGGGGGGGGGTGCAGTGGCAAAAAGTAGCAGCACAAATTTGTTCCCCTGCTATTTTTGTTACTCAAGCACATGGCCCTGTATGTCAGGACGTGCCCTAGGTGTATAAATCTGAGCTGGCCAGTCTTCTGACTCTGGTGTTGTTATTCCTAGCTGGAAACTCTATTCAGCCACAGCTATAATCATGTACTGGTGGTTTTCTGGTTCTCAACACTAACACTAATCCAATAGACAGGCGTTGTGCCTACTAGTGAAGGAAAGGCCTTTTGCTTTAGAATCTAGTTCCATTTTAGACAACAATGGAGTCAATGAGGCAAGCTTTATAATCAGGTACAGATACATTCATAGATCTTATTTCCTTGATGACATTTTCACATTTTAACAGTATATGCCAGAAAAGGTTATATGAACAGGGGAAGATTAGAGTACAAAGTTCACAGGCACTAGTGACTACCAGCAGGATTAACTGGATGGAAAGAGAGGCTTAGAAACCTCAGTTTGGAAAGGCAAAGGACATGGGACATAATTATGCAGAATGCAAATCCTATGTGAATCTCACCACGGTAGACATTTTCACTAAATGACAACCTGGAATAAGGTGCTGCAACTCCAGCAGTTTTAGGAAGCGGACAATTTAACAAAGGTTCATCAGTGAATAGAAATGTAGTCGTGCAGGATTAATGAAGAAAAGAAACTTATTGTATGAGTTGTTTGTTTCTTGTTGATTGGGTTTTTTGGCCTAAGGTACACTTTTATTTATGTGAAACAGATGATCATCTGAACCCCAGCCTCAGTCATTCCAAAGACAGATACAAGGTTACAAGAAGCTGAAGCTATCACATTTTGGCAACTGAAATTGCTGTTAGCAAGGCACAGATAGCTCTGATGTAGAGCCCTAAAATGATGGAAAATAACATCAAAGTGATCTTTCCCGTCAGCATGATTATCGTTGATCTTAGCCATGTAAAGCAGTAGTTTTCAGCCTTTTTTTCATTTTGCAGCCCGCTAAAAATTTTCATACAGAGGTGCGGTCCCCTTTGGAAATTTTGAGGTGTGCACCCCTTTGAATTGTAAATATGGGTATTCACATACTTTTGATTGATCATAGTCATCTTTCGTGGATCCCTTAGACAGTCTGTGGACCTGCAGGGATACACAGACCAGAGGTTGAAAACTACTGATGTAAAATACGAATTGAGCTGTTAGATGAAATGTCTTGATCTGCAAATATCAGGGGACTCTTGTCAGAACTTGGGAGTTTCCAACTCTGGAAGAGCCATCAAGAAAAATATTTATTTTTACTTTTGAATAAAATATGGGCATTAAGTACGCTGAATGGTGGAAGCCTTCAGGGAATCTACAATAAATCTGGATTTGGTTGGAATAGAATTCCTAGTAAGAATATCTTGATTTGAGGCAGATTTTGAAATGGGGTATTTATTTGTCAAAATGCACCCAAGAACTTATGGGCCAGATTCTCTACTGTCATGAGACCACTGAAGCCAGTGAAGAACCCCCAGAGTCAATTATCCTGTTTGCTTTCTGTTTAATTAACAAACTGCTGGCCAGACATGAGTATTTTTTTAAGTTGACTTATTTTTACTTCTCTTGTGATTCCAAATCTTATTTTAAATATTTTAAATATTTTTGATAAAATTAGTCTTGAACTTCATTTCCTGTAATGATACCAAAAAGGGCATGGTCTTTTAAGAAAATGACAGGGTTAGAATATTCATGTGATTGTTTCCTTTCTAGAAATGCCCTAGATATATGTCTTACTTGGTGTTATGTGTATATTTTGGGCTTTTAGCTAACTGAACTGCACCTCTGAAATCTTATAACTTAATGTAGCATGAGTTTCTAACTTAATTTACTTGAATTTGTTGGAAATTAGAGCATTTTATATATTTTAAGAAGATTATTTTTTCATACACATTTCCTACAAATGCCTTTTTCTTCTTTTTGACTAGAGTTCTAAATTTTTTTATTTGAACATTTAGAAGCTATCTACACGTGACTTTGTTGGTAATGATTAATTTATGTCGTGTTGTCTTTAATGAATGATTTTTTCATTTTGTTATAAACCCAACTTAATTTTCTCATGCGAGAAAGCGAGTATTTTAGTTATATTAGGTATCTTTGTACCATTTTGAAGATGCTGAGCCATATTCTGCATTTGGGTTGAATGGAGTCATTCTGGATTCATTCTTATTTTATATTGAGTTACTCTAGATTTGCATTGTTAAAACTTAGAGCAGAATATGGCCTGCAAAATGCTTCTGATTTTTCAGGTTTTATTTTTAGAATCTGTTTGCAGTTTTGAATATTTTATTTTCTACACCAATTCATGTATATGTTTGGCTCATAAGGTGTACTATAGTAAAATATTACAAAAATTAAATGCAAGAGATTATCTTTGCATTGCCACAAAGTATTTTTTCTGAGTTGGGAATATTTAGCTGTAACAAAATGTAGAGGTTAAATATATTAATGAAATATAATGTAAGAAAAAAGGCCCTTTAAACTGTACTAGCTAAGTTTCAGAATATTTAGCCTGTACCAGCATGAGTTTCTTCTATTTCTTGTCACCATTTATTAACATGTATTTTAAATTCTACACTGACACCATTACTAAGATACCTTTGGAATTTTCTTAAGCTGCATATAGAACTTAGTTTTGGGGAAAGTAATAAAGCTGCTGTGGCTGATTTTATGCCGAAGCCTTTCAGAGCTATTCAGAGCCTGTGATATACCTCCTTTTGTCCACACGATGGTGTTCAGAACACGTTAGTGTGAGTAATAATAT